CAACATGTGGATGGGACACAAAGGCAATTAATGTTCGTGATTTAAATTGTTTGTTTGATCCAATCAGAGTCTCAGGTCTCTCGAGGCCCCGCCCCTTCTCTGCTCACCTGGCAGGTGACTCAGAAGAAGATGCCCTGGAATATTGTCCTGCTGCTGGGAGGCGGCTTTGCTTTGGCCAAAGGCAGTGAGGTAAAACCTTTAAAGAGTAAACAAGGACAAATCGCTCCATACCAAGTTTTTTTACTACATCAGCCTTGATTTATAGTTGCTGACAGTTCAAAGACATTTACAGATTTGATCTGTGGCGGCCTTCTGTTAAATTATTTTATGCAGCCTTAGTTTTTATATTTTTAGAAGGAATAAACTAAAAATACATCTTGAATAGCCAAGAGAATAACACAACTAAGACTTTGTGAGTAAATGAAAATGAAATGACGCTTCTGCATGGGCACAGTGCAGATGGTTTGATGAGATTAAGTAAATCTGATATATATTTTGGAGAAGTGAAGCTCGAGTTTTCATTAAACGTAAAGACCACAGAGAAACCTTCGCTTCTAGACTCAGACTGAAGGCTTTTTCTTGTTGGTTTTTCAGGAGTCGGGTTTGTCGCGTTGGCTCGGTGATCAGATGACGCCGCTCCACTCAATCCCTCCATGGGCCATCGCCGTCATCCTCTGCCTGCTCGTTGCCACCTTCACTGAATGTGCAAGCAACGTTGCAACAGCAACTCTCTTCCTGCCCATCCTGGCCTCCATGGTACCAACAACACAGCCAGCACAGACTGTATTTGTTTATTTGCAGATGTTCCCACAGGTGTTTCATATCATAAGGTGACAGAGAACAGAAGGAGCTTCACCCTTTGAACCACTGACAGACTTTTATTATGATACATCTAAACAGGAAGTGTAACAGGAAATAAAGCCATTGAAGCCAGTTTATGGGTAAAGTTGATGACTCTGTTGTTTTCCCAACCCAGTGCCAGTCCATCAGTTTGAACCCTCTGTACGTGATGATCCCCTGCACCCTCAGCGCCTCCTTCGCCTTCATGCTGCCAGTGGCCACTCCACCCAATGCCATTGTGTTTTCCTCCGGTTTCCTCAAAGTGTCCGACATGGTGAGCTCTTCATTTCCTCCAGTTGGACAGAAATAATCATTGTGATTCATTATGACATCATAGCCCCCCCTCCCCCCCACTGTGCCCCCTACAGGCAAAAACAGGTGTGGTGATGAATATCATCGGCATCGGCTGCATTAGTCTGGCCATCAACAGCTGGGGTCGCGTCATGTTTTCTCTGGACACTTTCCCCTCGTGGGCCAACGTCACTGCGCCCGTGTAGGAGCGACATCCTCCCACATCTTTATTTATGCACATAAAACTTTTTCAGGTTTGATCTTTCAGCTCCAGCATCTGGCTTTTCCCAGCCAGGAGTTTGTTTTTTATATTTGTGTCACAGCGCTTTCTGAGCCACAAGAAACATCATCTCGATTGTGTTGTTTGTGTCATTGTGCA